CATACAGCAAGGGTTCAATGCAAGAATGCTACTATACATCGGCAAAGAGCCTTCTCTCAGCGCATGCATTCGCCACGGTTGCACGGACGGAAGTTGTCACGGCCAAGATCCAAGCTGGAGCCAATGCAATTGGATGTAAACTGCTTCCGTCCCGCGCTGGTGGCGGTGGGTGAGCACGATTCGATTTGAACTAGCCTCCATGTTAAGACGGACTGCCCCTGTCTTGCTTGGAAAGTGAAACTCTTCAAGCAGGCCTCAAACAGAATGTAGTTTGACACCGCTTTTACTTTCGGGGTCGTCCGTCAACTCTTCCTTCTCAAAGTCTTCGCAAAGAGATCTCAGATCATGCCTTGGCATGTCCACAAGATAATCACGAGTCAGAAAAAAGAGTGGGAAGGACAGAACAATTTTGGAGACAAGTCTCATGCACAGACCGTCGTGATGCAATCCTCAGATATGATGCAGCATTCAAAGGGCCGTAGTAGGAACACTTCCGCGTACTGACAACTTAAGTTTGTGGAAGGTTGACATGCTTCTCCGAAATATCAACAGGTGCCAACAAGCAAGTTTCCCGAAGAGCCCTGCCACTGACACATCACGCCGAGGGTCCATGGTATCAGTACCAACTTGGACACATGAGGTTCCGTCTGTTTTTGTGTCCCAGTGTAGTGTCAGCGCTGTGTGCAACGGGGCACCACTCTTCTGCATGATGATGCACGTGACCACCTTTGCAGCAGTTGCAGAAACAGATGCCGGCGCGAATGTACGGACTGCACGATGCACACTCTAAGTTTCTAAATGGTATTTACCCCTTTCCTTGTATGACGGAAGCGGACGTAATACATACATACTCATGGTGACAGACCGGCAGCCTTGGGAAGTGCGAACAAGCTGCATACTTGAAAGGCTTGTTCAACTTTGCAAGCTCCTGCAACCAACGCAAGACTCGCTTTCCCGAAACCGCAATTCCCTGGGCTCCCAAGTCAAAGACGTAGCCGGAGTGACAAACTCCATGAGGTCCTTTAGGCATTCATCAATGATTTGGTTCGTCCAGGACGTGACTCGCTCCTTGCTGTACTGTGACCTGGTAGGGCGAGAGGCAAAGTGGTTGGTTGAGTGCTCAGACTTCAGGACATGACTTAAAACAAATACGAACAGAGAGGATTGTGTACACCTCCGACCCTCCAAGAGTCTTGGTGATCGCGTTCTTGACGATCTCGTTGACCTGCTCGCTGACAAACTCGTTCTCGCCCTCATCGTCCATTGCTGGGACTTTTCAAAGGCAACCTCCTTCAACCGTCGAACTGCAGCAGCAGACACCTCTTTGAGGTTTGGTGTGCTTCACCCTGCTGCCTGAGCCAACGTCGCAACAGTACGCCATAAAGAGAGAGAGAGAGAGAGAGAGAGAGAGAGAGAGAGAGAGAGAGACCGTGAGCCCGAAGTTAAGCTGCTAAGCATCCTTCGCCTCCCTTCCCGTGCTCTTTTGTGGCTGCATGCGGACACTGGACACGCTCACTTGGTCAACCATAAATCGCCGAGTCCGATGAAAGGTAGGCACATATTTTGCAACTTTTTGCTCTCCGCGAAATCAGGATTCTTGAAGTGAAACGGTCTGCTGGTCGATGTCCGAGGCGTCCTTGCCCACGTGCCCGAGCTCTGCTGCAGGGACCACGAATCGGCAGATACTAGTATCCAAAGCAACAAGGCTGTTGCATGTTCAGCTGATGCAGTTCAACCGTCGGAGTTGATCAAATCATGCCTCGGCCGAGTTCTCATTCACTCCCCAAAATCTGGTGGCCCTCTTGGAGCAGGGCCGGCAAAACAGTAACCAAAATCCCATACCCAAGCTCTCAATCCGAAACCACAAACGACAGACACCATGGCAAGACAAGGCTCATGCACACACAGTCGTGATGCAATCCTTTGCTCCAAAGTCTGTCGACCAGCACGCTTTGCATTTGAGGCTCAGGGTAGAGGGTTTACGGTTGCAGGGTCTGGGCTTGTGGTTCAAGGGAGCGTTATACAGTAGTATGGCTTTTTGGCTTTCGGATTTAACAATATTGCGCGAGGTCTATCTCCTTTCAACAGGCAGCTAGGTGGATATTAAGCTGTGATTATTCTGCACTTGTATATACGCCGCCAACAAATGGGAATGTTAGCATCGCGTGAGGACTTGTGATCATGTTTGTAAACATGCTGCAGGAGGACAGAATCCAAGCAAAAAACTAAACTACAAAAACACCGGAAAAGCAAAAAGAAACTAAAAAACAGGAACAGCGATCCCGAAAGGTCGGCTTTGGGTCTGTTTCTATTTGGCATTTCTAGTGTTTGGATATTGACTTCATGCTGTGCGGTATTGTAATGCAAGTGACACGACGAGGAATATGAAAAGAGATCTGTTGAAATGCATGTTTTGTAGACTTCTACATGTTGTCCTGGCTGTGAGCAGCTGCCTTTCGACGCATGGACATGCATCCTTCGATGCCGAATCAAGACGTCGACATGAGTCCGAGTCGTGGCTCCACAGACAGCTTTTAAAATAAGAGATGGTGCTAGTTTCTGAGGAATCTTGCCAAGAGTCCATCGTATCCGTCCCCACTTGTACGCACGAAGTTCCATCCGTCTTCGTGTCCCAGTGCAAAGCAATGCTGGTGTGAAGTGGCGCACCGCTCTTTTGCATGATGATGCAGGTAACAACCTGCACAAAAAGCCGCCACACTACAGCTTTTGGACAGCCGCAATAGAAAGCTTCGTTCTGCTGCCATGGGACGTACTTGAAAGGCTTGTTCAGCTTTGCAAGCTCCTGCAAACACGAACTCATAAGAGGGAGTTGCTAAGTCTCTGAAACAGGAATTGCGGCGGCATGCATCCTTCAAACACTCGTCAATGATCTGGTTCGTCCACGGCGTAACCCGTTCCTTGCTGTACTGCGACCTGCTGTGCCAGTTAAGTTCAGTGAAAGGACACAAAACCCACGTCCTTGGTTATCAAGAGCCAGATTTTCTGACACCGGGCCCCGCCCTCCAAGGGTCTTGGTGATCGCGTTCTTGACGACGTCGTTCACTTGCTCCACGACGAACTCGTTCTCGCCCTCGTCGTCCATGGCTGGGGCCGGCCGGTAGCCAGGACTAGGAGTGAGGCCAGGCCTCACTTAGGCAGCTAGACCTGGCCGTTGGGCTTGTAAGTGCAAGCTGTTGGTGACAGGTTCTGCTATCTCAGGGCGACAGCCGAACAAGTCAGGCAAAGTAGGAAGGCTGCGGCTGCCATCTAGCGGCATCTGGCGGCTCCTCTCCACGGGCCTCGCCGCGCTGGCGCAGGGCCGCCAGGGAGAGCAGGTCTGCCTCGGAGGCGAACCCTTCCTCGCTTCATGCGAGGCGACCAGAACGACACAGCCTTGCCAAATGCTGTCCACATGAGCAGTGCTACACAACAAGCAGCTCCCATTCTGCTTTCTGTGACCGCACACGGAGAAGAACCGAAAGGGGATCATGCTGCAGCTAGTGAGTTAGAACCGTGTGAAATCCCCGGAACAATGCTATCGCCAGGGATACTTACAAAGGCCGCAGGACTGATGCGCATTTTTCTTGGCTTCCGAGGCCGTTCCCAGCTCGTCGCTCTCGTCGATCGCAGACCGAACTTCTGCAGGTCCCCGCGGGCTCCGGGGGCCATCTCCATCCGGTTCGCGGCGCCTGCCCGGGCGCTGCATGCTCGCCGCGCGCTTGGAGCTGTGGTCTCCGCGTCACGCAGCGAAACGCCGGGTGGAGGCAGCGGCAGCGGTGGCAGCGCAGGCGGCCTGAAGGCGCATGAGAACCTGCAGCGAAAACATCTGCAGTCCTCGCAGTGCTGGTACCAGACAAGGTAGCGTGGCATGGCTTGCGCACCATCATAAATCACGTACTCCCGGTGATCAAGAATGCCCCCATGCTCGGTGTCTTCTCCGACCACGGAATCGAACGCAGGGCGCTCGTCGTCGCCTTCGCTGCAACTTGGATGGAACCGGGGCATTGCACGGAAAGCCTTCAATGCCTTCCCAAGGCAAACCTGCGCAACAACGACGCATTTCATACCATCAGCAGCTGAGTCTACATAGGTGTCCGCCTTTGCAGCAATGTCGGCAAAGTATGTACCACATCCAAAAAATCGACCGGAGCGCTCTCCAGATCGGGAAGGGTCAAAGCCTTCAGTGAGAATCCCATCAATACTCCCTTTTCTGCAACCGTGATAGAGCAGGAGCTCATGAAGACCAATATCTAAATCATAAGACAAATCTGGCCGTAGCGCACAGCAATCCTGCAAGTCAGATTGAAAGGCCCCTCGATGTTCGAACATCTTCATGCGTTGATCACGATATTTCGTCTCAGCGTCTGAAATCAAGACCCGCTCTATTCGGACAACGCGCAGTGCCTTTTGCACCGCACGTTCGCCGCTTCCGAAGCGATCTCGGGATGGAACGGCGCCTGTCCTTACCACGTGTTCGCTCAGCCGGCGGAACTCGCTGCTGCTTTCTGCAAGCGTCCTCAGCATACCTCCATGGCATGCACCCGCTTCTACCTTCAAATCGCGGCAAGGTACATACGGTACATACCACGGCGCGAACTGATGCATACGGATGCCGGAAAAGCTCGTTTCAGACTTTCGCTGTACAGATGTTGCATGCGATAATGGTTCTGGTGCCAAGCTTTTCATGCAAGGCCATGCGATACAGGCAAGGGTGCCTGGACAAAAGTACTTGCTGCTTCTGCTCTGTCGTGGCCGCTTGGGAAGCTGTCCCAGCTGGGATGCTGATCGGCTCCTCAACATGTCGCTCTTGCAATGCATGCCTGAGTTTCCGGCTGCGTGTCGGCCAGCAGCTGCCACCTGGACATCCCATGCCTTCGCACACCACGGCATCGACACAAATCTGCGCCGCATGCAAAGCAACCTGGCCTTTGCATGGTGCTCGAGGACACTTTTCAAGAAGTTGTGCATCATCTAACAGGGCACAAAGGTGCATGAAACCATCACCTAAACACTTGGCCTCCAGCCTGCAGGTCAAACTTCAGGTTGGGGTCCTCAAAAGCTCGTCGCATCAGCGCCTCGTGGTGATCGTGTTTCGACCCAGGCATCAGGCAGAGGCAAACTGCTGGAGGCAGCGGCAGTAGTAGAATGCGGCGACGGTGGAAAGCACTTGTGATATTGCAAACACCAACTTCATTGAGAGGACATCTCAGTTCTGTCTGGTGGAGACTTGCGATCAGCATGGCTCAACCTCGCTTCTTTTTTCTTGCCGTGGATCACACCTCCACGCCATCCAAGACCTGCACGGGAACATGCTTTTCATGGGCGAGTTCAAGGACAGCGCAAGTGCAGGCAAGGAAAGTCGATCCTTGCCCATGAGTTTGGGAGTGGCGGTCCGCCAGCAATGCGTGCCTCAGGGCAGACGACCTGCCTGGCTACAACTACGATCGCTTGGCCATAACTGTTCTAGATATCATGCAAGGCACATTTGCCGTCGCAGTGAACAGCCTCACCCCACTCGTCTTTTATGCCTGAGGTGTCAGAGGCTTAGATTTTCTGCACAGGGCCTACACCTGGAATCGGATTTGATGGGATGCTGCCTTCAGATCGTAACATGCGACTCGTTGTTGTGAAAGCTGCAGATTACATGCAGGCACTTCTGCACACAAGCTCCGATTGGGCTCTGACGTTCCGCAGGATCTGTCAGAAGGCAGTTGTGAGTCCTCTGGTTCAAGTTTCGTGAAGCGTGGGGATGCGTCTCTGGCAAGTTGCAAGAAACCCCCTTATGTTTTGGCCAAGGAGCAGGTCCAGTACCTGCCAAGGGTTTTCTGCTCTGACCCTCTCGCTGCATAGCTTTGCACGTTGACAACACCGGAGAGAGTTCAAAAGGACAGAAACGGCCCGGGCCCGAGAGCTCTGCGCCTGCGGCTCCCTGAGCAGCAACTCTTTGAAGGCGTCCGGCGCTCGCCACTGCTCCGGTGCCACCTTCAGGGCCCAGCGGATCACAGCGGAGGTCTCTGCAGAACAGCTGCTCCGCCGCCGGAAGTCTAAACAGGTCTCAACCAGTTCAGTAAAGGACGAATGTGGTGCGCTGGTGCGCTTCCGCGTTCCGCGTTCTGCCGGGCCAGGCCAGGCCTGCAGCGCCAGTTCGTAGGAAGATCGTGGCTCCTCTGCCGAGAAAGGAAAGCGATATCAACGAAAGCAGTGACAGCCTTCGCAGTGGACCGAAAGCTGCCGCGAGCTACAAGCACAGCTTCTGCACCGCGACCTTCAAGTACACCAAGGGCTTGATCGCCAGGGCGTTTCGGAGTTGCCTCCATCTGCCATTAAATCAGAAAACAGCCCCTGCTGCGTACCTACAGGGGACGAGTGGACTGTTGTGGCCGAGAGGCTCAGCTGTCAGCTGCAGAGGGCCTTGTCTGAGCCAGCTTAGCCTCAGAAGCCACAAGCCAGCACCCTGCTGCCTAAAATGGTGACTTGAACTGTGAGGTGTGAGGGGCACCTGCCCCGGCTTTTGTGTTGGACAAACAAAAAGCCTAAGAACATTGCTAGAATCCGAAAGGACCGAAAGCCCGTCCTTGCTTGACGTATACGAAGATAGGCTATCTGATATCTGGACGAACGGATGAAGCATTGACTTCAACTCAGCTTGTGAATTTCTATTGAGATTTCCTTGTTTCATGTGCCACGGAGGGCAAGCTTTGTCTGGCCTTGACAAGCCCTGGATCCTAAGGGCTCTCCGATTGAAATAGGAATCTCGCTTGGGGTGTCCGGCTAGCCTCAGAGTCAACCGATCCGATACGTTTGTAGCAACCCGTGTTCTACACTCTACACTCGACCTCGAAGCCTCCGAGGTGCCAGCGCTTCAAAGATCTCTTCTGGAGCCTCGGTCCGAGTAAGAACCCAGCGCTCAAAATCTTAGAGTAGAAAAAGACACGTGGCGCTTGGGCTCTGACTGGAGGGAGCTTCGGCTTCAGGTAGCTAGGCCTCCCAAGCAGCAGATGGCAAAAGCAAAAGCGGTTCCCTCGCCATTCTGGCCCCCCTTTGAGCCCTTTCGCCGGCCTGTTGAGCTCATACCACCCGGTCCAACCGAAAGCCTCACCAACACACAAATGAACGCCTCCGCTGGACTTGGTTTTGCTTTCGAATTTTAGTCGTAAAGCCCTCTTCCCGCCAGTCTCTTCAAAAGCAAGACGGCGCGGCTGCACGGATTCCACGAGGGCTCGCACTCAGCTCGCACGGCGAAGCCTTCGCAAGGATCAGTTCGGCATCCTCCTGGCCTTGGCATTTCTCTGTACTAGTAAGTAAAATAGGGTTTTGGGACCGAAGCCCCAAAATAGAATAGGTTGTTAATAATGCCCCTGTCACCTCCGTGCTTCCTCTGTCCCCAACTCCGGATGCACGAAGCGAGTTCAATGCTGTACGTGTAAAAAGCCATCTACGACCAAAACTAAGCCGGAGTGCTTGCATCCAGGTTTTGCGCAAGCGCCCTCGCGCCAGCCTGTCTGAACAGTGGCTTCATAGTACGCTTTTGAAGAAACCAGCTGATTGGACAACGAGCCTGCCAGATCTCTGCACCCCCTCGTTCGGCAACACCTCTTCTGGGCAGGGCGAAGAGTCGAGTGCTACACTCCTCTGACTCTAGCCTGCAAACGGCGCCTTCGCGAACAGCAGCCAACAAGGCGGCTTTGTCTACCGACCTTCTCTGTTACAGACAAACTGCTTGGGGTTGACAGCTGCTTGAAAGCGTAAACGACACCAGAGAGGCCTAGCCGGTGCGAGAGTAGGACTGGTGTCAAGATGCTGAGCTTCGCCAAATCTAAGTGCAGACGGCTACACCCCTGACAAAGGCAGTGGCCCAGCGCCGTAGGAGACTGCCGCCAGTCCCAATACTGGCAGAAAAATGCATCAAAAGAACTTTCTTGCAATCAAGCCCCGCAGCTTGAACCAGTGAAGAAAACCGTTCAACAAAGCGCAGTTCTCAGACATGATTACAGCCCGCCTGCACAACAATACCTGTTCAGTGTAACCGAGACTGGACATATTGAAGCAAGAATCGGCTCAGCAACTTCTGAGCATTTGTGACTTCATCGAGTCTTGTTGCCCATATTGTCTTCGAGTGCCTTCACGCGCTTGTTCCTGTTTGGTCCGGCAGCAGTGCCAGAGTTTTCAGCACAACGGTATGATGGCGTGGACAATTGCGCATTCTCTCTTCATACTTACTGTTGGAGGGGCACGCTTCCAGAAGTGTTCTTGTGAAGCACCTTCGGGTCCCCCATAAACTCCACATTCGCCTTCGAAGCACCCGGCAACCATCAGCTTCGTCGCTCTTTCCTGAGCTCAGGCCCGGATTCCTTCGTCTTCGTCTGCTCATCCTCATCATCTGCGAGGGCATGGCCGCAAGTCCTGTTTTTTGGTGGACATCTTCGCACTGAGATGTTCGGATGGTCTTGTTCCGATAGTTGTTGTCACTCTGATTCTCAGGATGGAAAATTCAATGGCTTGAGTTGCATTGCCTAGTTTGCGTGCGGCCGTGGACTCATAGTTTTGAAAGGCCGATGGAAAGGTCCAACTGTTCGATCGGCCACAGTTGGGAGCAGTTTCTGTGCACTTGCCGGCGCCAGCCATTGTGCGGCCCACAACCAGACGAGAGCAAGTGCGATTGTTGTTCCGGGCTTCCGGGCTGCAGGTAAACTTGGCAGAAAACAACACCAAACAGCTCCATCTTGGCTGCTCACCTCGTAAGCGTTGGATGTCGGAGCTTGGCCTACCAAGCGAAGCATTGCGCATTATATCTTGGAGCCTCGAGCCAGCAGCTCAGCAGCGAAGTGGAGGCACACGCACCTCTCGCCCGCAAAGACGAAACCACCAAGCGGATGCCTTAGCACTCCAAAGACTGCTTCTGCTCGAGCCGCGGCAATGGCCGTGCAGCACAGGCAGCAGTAACGCGGAGCATACAGCTCTTGTTTGCTGGGACACCAGCGAAGCCAGCAAAGTAGACGTCACCACTGCCGCTACCGCGACCACCACCAGTACAACCTCATCTCCGCAATCTTCAAAGCACGGTGTCCGAACAAATACGTGCATGAGTGTCTCTGGGGCACAGCAGCCAGTGTGCGATTGTTTTTGCGACGGCTACAAAAAGGCACTCGACACAAGAGCGCTGATGCTCCGCCCAAGATGACCATTTGTCAACTTGCTCAAAAGATGGGTAGGGATATTATGGGAAATAGATACTTTGGAAGGGGCTACCCTTCCAACCTGTGCTTACACAGGTCCTGAATCTCTGCCGCAACCGCTTCAGTCGCGCCAGCATCTTGAAACACATACCTGGTCAAGGCAAGCCCAAAAGTCAGCACATCTTGTGGTAGATATAGCATCACTGGATTGCTACTACGATGACCTCGCTGTTGGAATTGCTCCTGGCAAGGCTCCCTACGCACCCCGTCTTCTTGAGAGTCTTGCTCTTCTAATGGCGTTTCTTATTGCTGCGGCTATCTTTATTGCGAAAGACAACTTCCAGCTGTGGCTGATGCTGTCGCTGCCGCTGCTGTTGCTCGCTCCTGGTGCTTCCCTACTCCTCTTCCTCCAACTGCTGCGCCTCCTGCTGTTCCTCCTGCTATGTTGCTACCAACACCATGATTACGACTACGACTACGACCATGAGCCCTACGACGGCTACCACGCCAATGACGACCACAGCCACAGAGGATTATGCATCACAACTACGACGACAGCGACGTCAACGACCAACAAAATGCCGAGCTGCCAATCACTCTCCAGCACTTGGAGCTTGGAGAGTTTGGGACAGGCAGTGACTTCCATCCAAGGCTCTGCCGCGTCTACGCCAATGATGGTCTTCATCTTGTCATGCCCTTCCTGAAAAGACCAATGATTCAATAACATGAAATAGAAGGCGATGGTTTAACGGAGGTGTAGCGGCAATTGTACGCTACCACAACTACTGCTACTGCCACTGCTGCCACTGCTGCTGCTACCACTCTGATGCTGCTTTGGCTGCTGCTGCTGCTACTAGTGCCACTACACTGGTACTACTACCATTCTTGATAGTCGACTG